TAATTATGTCCCCACTGGATGCAACAAATGCCTCGTTTATAATGGGTTTTAATGTTTTTGTCTCGTCGCTCCAGCCGGATCACGGCATCACAATATGTTAAGGGGCGTAACATTTCCGTCACACGCTTGAGGTATTCGGCCAATCATAACGCACTGGCTAGCTGGCCAATCAGAGCACACCTCGCTTTTCAGACCGATGAGCTTTGTAAAAATCGACACGTTTCAGAAAGGCGGGGCATAGAGGAGAAACAATAATGTACAGTATGTGGAAAATAATGTGTTTTTTGGACCTTAAACCGCATAAACACATTTCATTACACCAAATACACAAAATAATGTTCTTTTTAGCAACATCATATGACCCCTTTAAAGTATATTTTAGTTTGTCATAAATACTTGTCGGTATATTCGACATATATTTCAATATAAGTAATTATGAAATTACATATAAAGATGTGCATAAGTCCTATTTAAGTGGCTCAAAAAAGCTTATGTTCAACTAATTCAGTACAACTTTAAACTATAATACATTTCATTTAATTGCAAATTACTTCTATTCTAGTCTATTTCTGTAATAAGTACTCATTTTAAAAATATGCTAAAAAGTACTTGTTTTTTAGAGGGGCAAACAATGACTATATTGTACATTCACACAGCTAGCATTAATCTACTGTTCGCTGCATCTCAGATTTCCCAGCAAAACTCTTGAACCACAGTCTAGAGAGAATCTTTTATATTGCAGCCAGCTGTTGTCCACTTGACGCAGAGCCTTCATTGAAGACTGGGGTGCGTCTCTATGTAATCACAACATTCATAGCCACCCCTAGTAAATATCCTGATCCCTGATGGGTCATTTAGACCTTCATCATTACTTCAGAACTGCACATAAAATTCAGCAGGAAACACTTCTTGCGAGAAATGATCAGCCTCCCCCGGTGTCATTTATAAAGCTTATGAGGTACAGTATTGATCTTGGCAGCGGATGCTCTTTGTGTTGGAAGTAGGATCTGTAAAAGCTTTCTTTAGTCCAGCGTTACAGCCGTGAGAGCAAAACATGGGAAACTTCATGTTCTGCAACTGTCAAGATGATTATAATAAAGAGCTCAAATTAAATATGGGTAAGCTGAAACCTCTTGGTCCAGTTTCAGAAGTCTGAAGAAACTTCATTTTGTAGACTTGTTCCAGTATTAATAACAGACAGCGCCAAATTCTATGTGTAATTTTATTCTTATAATTGATTTAAAAATGCAAAACTGACCAATATTGGCATGGAATGCCTAGTTTGTGTCCACAGTTTTTAAAGCCATCTCCTTTCAGTCAAAAGCTAGATTTATTTAATGTGTGGGAAATCAGAAACACAAGAATGCAGGCTGAGATCATTATTCTGGCGTTTCTCATCCAGTCCATCTCTCGACAGAGACAGGGATGGCTGGGAAGCCATTCCGAGCCACATACATCTGGACGAACATCATCAACAACCTTCAGATGCAGGTGGAGGTGAAGAGGAGACGCCACAATCTGAAAATCTACCATGACTGCTTTCTGGGCTCCGAGGCTGCCGACGTGGTTCTGGCTCACATCATTCAGAGCAAGTTCTGCGGAGACGCCGAGGTGCCTCGTTCCAAAGCGGTCCGCCTCTGCCAGGCCCTCATGGAGGCCAGAGTCTTTGAGGCGGTGGACACTAAGGTGTTTGGGAAAGAAAAGAGGCAAGCCAAGTTTGAGGACAGCAGCTGTAGTCTTTACAGGTTTCTAAACAGGCCGACCCCAAGCGCATCAAGCATACAGAGGAACACGAACTGTCCGCCCTACGAAAGGTAGGTCAAATCGCCTTTGTTCAGTGAATAATCAGAAAATATAAAGAACTTGTAGAGGTTGTAGACCTTCTTCCTAATGCTTTCTCTAAAAGACTGTGGCCTGAAAGGAATCAATGTTATTTCAGACCTGTAGGACCTTATTTCATCTGTGAAACATAAAAGGAGAAATTTTGAAGACTGTGCTGGCTGCTCTTTTCCATGCAATTACAATGAATGGGGAATGAGGCTTTCAAGCTTCTAAAAGGATCATAAAAGTGGTCCATATTAGTGCTGGGCGGTATACAGGTTCATACCGAATACCGGTGTTTATTTTTGTTATGATATGAATTTTTAAAATACTGCAATATGTCGCTTATACAACGTTCGGAACGCGACACTGTTTGAAAGGGGTGTTGCACTGTGGCGAGGGAACAGCTGTATGTGTTACTAAGCGTGAAAGTTCCAAAACTGAAGCTGTAGAACTAATAGAACATCATGACACAGAAGAACTCACATATAATATCCACATTGACCGCCACAATTATCCACCGCCCCCTGCCATCATCTCCCGCGTCTCACACACACACGAGCGCAACTTTAGCACTAAATTTAGCAACTTTCAGACCCTTTTAGCGGCTTTTTTCCATAGAATATTCATACTGACAAACCTAGCGACTTTTTTGGATAAACCTTAGCTATGGTTCAGTTGGAAGATTTCACCAGTGCTGTCCCGCAAGCGCGAGGTCTGACTTTCCCGGAGAAATGTCAGCTCTCTCGGCGTCTGTTCTGTGCAGTGAGCGGCAGAGAAGCAGCACATTAGTTAACACCCAGTCATGCATGAAAAAAAAGGAATACCGTCATGTACCGTGAAACCGGTATAATTTGGTAAAATACCGTGATATAAATTTTTGGTCATACCACCCAGCACTAGTTCATATACAATTCCAAGTTATTTTTAAAATGTAAATCATTTGTGTGAGTCGTTATTCATTAATAATCTTCCTAACCAAATCAGATCAGTCTGGTTTGTGAAGGAATCATTCATGAACGTGATAATTTGAATTCATGATGACTGAAAATATTTGACTTAAAATGATTGCGCATCACTACTTCTCTCATGAACTCTTATGTATAAAGTCAAAAGTTTCAGTGAATAACTTGAAGTTACAAGAAAGTAACTTGACTGATTGATTTACGTGATTATTGACATCTGAACACTTGGATTATATCGCACAAATCATATAGACTAATTTTATGATGCTTTTATGGTGATTTTGCATCCTTTTTGAAGCTTGAAAACATCAGTTCCTATTCACTGTCATTTAAGTGGATTTAAAAATATTTTGGATTAAAAAAAATGTTCCTGTCACACCGAATTATAACAGAATGTTCATTTTTGGGAGAACACATTTGTGGCAGATAACAAAATGTGTGGAAAACATGCAGAAAAGTGCATTGTGTTTCCATTTACAGTAGGTCACCTACTAAGATACAAGCGCTGGTAAAACCTCGCAAAACTAGTTAATCGTTTACTTGTTTTTAGTTGCATAGAGATCTTACAGAATGCTTGAAATTTTCTCGGAATTGTTTTTCCTTTGAGATTTTATACTATGAAATACCTCAGGTTGCTATTAAAAGCCAATTCTCTTTAAATGCACATGAAATGTCAACATCACAGTGAAATCATGGACTAAAAATCCTTATTTGGTGATTCCTACAAGAATGCATGAAACTTGTTCAGCTTGATCCTTCATAGATTGGAAACTGTTTCAGACATATGACATCCTCATTACTATTGTCTGAATATTTTCTTCAGGAAAGAAGATTCTGTGTATTCAAACAACTCACCTGTCAAAACGGATAAGTCTCTGGAGGATGTTTTGGGAAATCTGAACATGAACACAACCATCACACCACAGATGATGAATCTGGGGTTATCACAGGAATGTATGTTTTCTTTGGAAATATATGCCTGCTTTGTATAATGTCATGAAATGCTATTTGAAATATGATGTTTTTTGACTGTTTGACAAATTTGCCATAAAATCTGTCATAAAAGTATTAAAGCTGACGTGTGTCGTGACTGTGTCTGTGTCAGTGATGGATGAAATATGGCGGCAGCAGACTGTACTAAGACTCTTACAGCTGATTGAGCTGCCGCTTCTGGAGAGCCTGTTGGAGGGCCAAGAGAGCCCTCGCCCGCCCCTCCACAGCATGGACAGCGACCCAGACCTCCTCTACACCAGCAGCTACCTGGACCGTGAGATCCTCAAGGCCTTCAGCGAGGCTCAGTATGCTGATTATTTCCATATCATGCTCTATCTCTGTTTGTTTAACTCTCCTTTTTATTCTGGGGTGTTTTAGAGTTGCAGTGACAAAGCTAGAGTTTTACATTTAAGTTGTGCTCGCCACACCCCAATGCAAAAGTGCTGAGTTAAAAAATATCCTTCTCCAAAAATGTTGTATTAATCTCAGACTTACATTGACTCAAAGAGAAATATAAAGTATACAAGTCTATGTAATAGTCACACTATGTAACTTATAGCCCCCTAGCGGTTAAAAAATAAAACCACGCGGAAGAGTATTGTTTTGGTTGTGCACTGGCAAACAGATGTTTGCCTTTTTAATGATTCATGATAATCTTTTTCTCATTCGTTGTGGCAACTCGGCACTCTAACCACAGCTGGGGCCTGTTTCATAAAACAAGTTTACCAAATAAGCCAGGTTTATTTCAGTTAGTCTGACTTATTGTCAGCTGATTTGGTTCAAAATAAGTCAGACTGATTGAAATAAGCCTGGCTTATATGGTAAACGTGTTTTATGAAACAGGCCTCTGGAGCTTCTTTGACGTGACATGCACGGGCGAATGACGTATGTATACAACTTCCCACGAAATCCGTCCCGACAGCGCTAAAATGTAAATCATTATAATAGATTTATTAAAGTGTTTGGGTAAAGACATGGTTTGGAAGATGGATTTTTTTTTTGCACTCTTTCAATAACATTTTGACATTTTTTTTAATGAAAAAAAATTTCAATGCACAGTAATCTGCACTACATGTGTTCAGTCAGGCAAGTGTCTTCTGGTCATTATGTAATAGTTCTGTTTGAACCCAAACCGTGGGGCATGTTGTTTTCTCCCACTCATATTCAAGAAACTCCCTTTTTTCCACACACATTCTGATGAAGGAAATCTCTTAGTGAACTTACATCTCATTTATTTATTCTGTCCTTGCCTTTTAAGTGTATTTTTAGATGGCTGTGCTTTTCATTGATTCTGTGTTATCTTTGCATCATATTCTTTCCTTTTTCATCTCATTAACAGAGCAGATAACTGGTTGTCAGCGGCTGTGGACTGTCTGGAGTTTCTTCCTGATCACTTGGTGGTGGAGGTGAGCCGAGGACTGGCCAAGTGTGCGGAGGAGACGTCCCAATATAAGCAGCTCCTCTACGGAGTCCTTGTTCAGCACTACGGCCAGTCGGACTACCCACCGCTGCTCAGCAACCACGTCTTTGACATCCACTCAGGCGTCTCCGAGCTGCTTGGTGAGAGATCAGTCCACTATATGTTAGCTTGACCTGACTTTTATATGAAATGAAACTTGGCTTATTAGTGGCCCCTGTGAAGATGAAGTATATTTTAGCATACTTGTTATTACATAATAATTTACATTAAAAGAATATACTTGCATGAACTGAATGTAATGTTTTTGGACACTTAGTTGCAACAACAAAATGCAACTAATTTATATTAAATGCAATTAGCAGTTAGTAGAACTTAAGAGTGCTTTTGAACCAAGTCAGACTTCATCTAATAATTCCCTCAAAAATAAAAATGTGCTGAAAATGTACTCATCCTCAGACCATACAAGATGTAGATGAATTTGGAGAAATTTATCATTGCATCACTTGCTCACAAATGGATCCTCTGCAGTGAATGGGTGCCGTCAGATTGAGAGTCCAAACAACTGATAAAAACGTTACAATAATCCACAAGTAATCCACACCACTCCAGTCCACCAGTTAACATCTTCTAAAGTGAAAAGCTGCCTGTTTATAAGAAACAAATCCATCAAGGTGTTATAACTTTAAATCATTGCTTTTGGCAAAAATATGAGTCCTTTATTCATAATATTGCTTTCTCCAATTAAAAAAGTCGCTTATGGAACAGCAGCGATACAGCGTTTCCTTTATTACTGCTGTAAACATTAATATGCATTATATGGAGGTAAGAATACCATCAAAACTTTTCTGAAGACAGTCAGTTCATATAACCCCTCACCCCCAATTCAGGATTTTCTTCCAATATTTCGTGTGTCATAAACAGTGTTTGCTCTGCCTGCTACAGTATTTTCTCCTCTTAGTGTTCGTCTTCAGTGTCGTTTGCAGTTTGTTTATTTGCCCCGTTAAAGGGATAGTTCACCCAAAAATGAAAATTTGATGTTTATCTGCTTACCCCCAGGGCATCCAAGAAACAAACATGCTACATATAGTACGAGACGTTTTTGATGCTAATTAGATTGAATCATTTCAAAATTTAGAGCAAAAACAGAACAGTCCGACCTTAGCTTTGTGAAATTATACTGCATAAAATCTGCACAAAATAAAAACAGCAGACGGGCTGAGTGAGAACGTAAATTCACTCACTGACAGCAGGTGGCGCTTATGGAACAGCAGTGATACAGCGTTTCCTTTATTACTGCTGTAAACATTAATATGCATTATATGGAGGTAAGAATACCAAAAGTCACCTACATCTTGGATGCCATTTTTGGGTGAACTATCCCGTTAAGGAATTAGTTGTGTGTTATTAATGGTACTATAACCATTAGTCAGAAGTGTATGCAGTTAACAAGTATCTCCTCTCAATTCACGACACTGTCTACGTTGCTTAGCCAGTTGTATGTCAGTTTTTTTAGAAATCATACCGTGTGCGTAATTCAAACCGGTTTACCAATATCACCCAGCGTTATTAACAACCATACATAACATCCTAGCAATGTACTACAGCCAGTGTTAGGAAGGTTACTTTGGAAATGTAATAGGTTATAGATTACAAGTTACACATTTTTTGCAGTAACTGTAACAGATTACAGTTACATTTTTGTAATTAAATTACCATTACATGTAACTAGCTACTCCCCAACACTGACTATACAGGCCACTGGAATGTTGTTTAAAATTGGTCACAAATCACTTTATTATATTCTTCTGCGTGTGTGCAGTGAATGGGAAGCGGGAGCAGGCGCTGGAGTCTCTGCAGCTCTGTCTGAAGCTGCAGGATTCACGCAGTAGAGAGGAGCTCCGCAGGTTACTGCGCTTTATGGCCCTCGCCGCCGGCCCTCAGGAGATCAAACTACACAAAGAGGTACGAATAATCTGACATCTAGTGGAGACTGAGAAATACTGTTTGAGTGTGTGTTTTTATGCTCATGCAAGTCTTTGTGACCCTGGAGCACAAAAGCAGTCTTAAGTCGCTGGGGTATATTTGTAGCAATAGCCAAAAATACATTGTATGGGTCAAAATTATAGATTTTTCTTTTATGCCAAAAATCATTAGGATATTAAGTAAAGATCATGTTCCATGAAGATATTTTGTAAATTTCCTACCGTAAATATATCAAAACTTAATTTTTGATTAGTAATATGCATTGCTAAGAACTTCATCTGTATAACTTTTTTTGCACCCTAAGATTCTATTTTAAAATAGTTGTATCTCGGCCAAATATTGTCCAATCCTAACAAACCATACATCAATGGAAAGCTTATTTATTCAGCTTTCAGATGTTGTATAAATCTCAATTTGGAAAAATTGACACTTAAGACTGGTTTTGTGGTCCAGGGTCACATTTGTAAAACCAGTAATGGATGAAATGAAGTGCTGGTGTATTTTTAAATGACATAGTGTTTGGAGATCATTTGAAAAATGAAAAATCATTTAAAAAATATGGAAAAATCGATACAGTGTCTGCACTGAAACTGATGCAGATCATCCAGTATGTTTGCTGCAAAATCAGACCAGTGCACAGTACGACAGTGTTTCTATCACACAAAAGTGTCATTGTTAAAAGCAGAAGCTAAAGTGAGCTTTGCAGTTGCCATGCTTGTAAAACGACACTGAATTAAACAACAGCTTCTTTTCTGCTTTTGCCTGAAAATCATTTATTACACCTACAGAAATGCCATTCCTACATCCCTACAGAAACTTGACAAGCTGTTTGTTTGTTTGTTTTGTTCTGTAGATAGAGAACAGAATGGCAGTGAAGAGGGCGTTCTCCAATGCTATTGTGTATGGGACTAAACTAGCCAAGGGGAAGGTTGATCTTCTGGTTCTTTTCATGATGGACAACCACCACGACCTCTTCAAGGTGAGCCAGCAGTTCAGACTGGCCTCTAAAAACACTGTTAATGACATACAGTTAGACATATATGACTGTGCAAAGGTTTGGGGTCTGTAAGAAATGCCGTTCTATTGAACTTTAAATTCATCAAAGAATCCTGAAAAAAAAAGTATAATGGATTCCACAAACATTAAGCAGCAAAAACCGTTTTCAGTGTTGGTAGTAATAAGCAAATCAGCATAATAGAATGATTTCTAAAGGATCATGTGACACTGAAGACTGGAGTCTTGATGCTGAAAATTCAGCTTTGCATCACAGGAATAAATTACATTTGAAAATGTATTCAAATAGAAAACAGGTATTTTAAACTAATAATATTTCAAAATATTACTGTTTTTACTGTAGTTTTGATCAAATAAATGCAGCCTTGGTGAGCAGAAGAGATGGCCCAAAGTTTCGAATGATTGCTTATATCAGCATATATAACAATTTAATAGTCCTTGTGTTTTAAAATGAGACATTCATTTGCCTTGTGAATAATTCAGGTCATGGTTCTCTCATAAAATTGTGTTTGTGTGCCTGAAGTGAACTGACAGCATTTGTAATAATGTGTTTTTGCTCTAGATTCCCGTCACATTGCACAAACTTGTAAGTGATAAACTGGCCAGTATCATCAAAGGAACAGATCCTGACCTCATCACAGGTAAATCTACAAATATATGTAAAATACATGAGAAAAGTCTTTCATGCTGGTTACTTTTTTTTTTTGCTTAACTTGTTTATTCAACATTTACAGTAATAACAGGATGAAAATACAGGAGAATAGAAAAAATATTGTTCCCACTCCACCTCAACCTAAAATAAATAAATAACAATAAAATAAAATAATTAAAATAAAATGAAATTAAACAAGCTAAATTTAAAATAATTTTTTTTTTAAAGTACTCGATATATAACTATACTGTAATACAGAGTATGTCAAGCATGTAAAGAATACATGCTGAATCATTCAAGTTTAGAAATAAAAGAATTTAGCCATATATCAAGTGTACGCACATAATTTGACAAACAAATCCTTACAAAAAATAAAGTATCATGCTGGTTACTTTTATGAAACATCCTGAATTACCAAGTAATCAAGGTAATAAAACTGATTGATTAAATCAAAAACCTTGGCAACACTTATTACTTAACATTAACAAACAATGAGCAATATATTTGTTACTGTATTATTTATTTATTTTTTTGTATCTTTGTTAACTTTAGTTAATAAAAAAAGAGCTGTTTATTGTTAATGTTAGGTCCGGTCCATTACATAATACTAACAAGATACAACTTTTGATTTGAATAATGTATTAGTAAATGTTGAAACTGACATTAACTTAGATTAATAGATGCTTTCGAAGTATCTATCATTGTTAGTTCATGTTAACATTATTGTAAAGCATCACCGCAGTCTTATCATAGTAGATGTTTGTGAGCCTTATTTGTAAATAAAACACGGCTTATAATGTATGATCCTTGATTTTCTAAGAAAATACATTTCAAATCTCCACTCTCTTAGGAACAACGTACTGTCGCCGTCTGACTGGAAAAGATTACCTGGAAACAGTTCAGAAAACTACCAGAGAGGAGCTGTGGACGTTACTGAAAACTATTCACGAGAACTCGAAGCTCTCTCTGAAAGAGAAGCGCCGTCTGCTCGGACAGTTCTACAAAGGACATCCTGAAATATTCGTGCAATATTTTGGCAACAGAATATCCAGTGTTTATATTTAAAGATCTTCAGTTAATTTTATATTATATATGTATGATATGTAAAAAAGTATTGTAAATATGTATATATTTATACCACTGTTATGTCTGTATTGATGGAGAATGAGATTTGTTGGACAATTAACACATTTTTTCTATTCTTTATCAAAATTATGATATTACTACCACTTACTGCCCAAAAAAAACACATTCTTATGCCAGGTTCAGACTACACGATATTTTTGTCGGTCACGATAGTCACTGTGTCAGATTACACGATTTTGACTCCTAAAATCTTGTCGTGTCGTGGACAAGAAACATGTCAGACTACACGTTGCTTTCCGAACATTCATCGTGTGATGTCATCGAGAAGGCGGAACTAGCGACTGACTTCCGAAAACAAGAGTGTAAACATTGCTGAAGCGCTTCCGCTATAGTTCGCCAGCATTTTTCTTTCTTTGTTCTGTCGTGGTAGTCCCTCGATGACACATCATACAGACAGGAGTACTACACCCTACGTCAAGCAAATCGTGGCAAAATCGTGTAGTCTGAACCGGGCATTAGACCACAAAACTCAATCCTACATATAAATTCGAACACTTCAGAAAAACAGAAATATGTCTTAAAAATAGGGTGGCCATATGTGCCATTTATACGGGACACGTTCTGGCCAGGATTTTTATATTGCCTAAAACAGTGGTTCCCAACCCTGGTCCTGGAGGCACCCCAACACTGCACATTTTGCATGTCTCCTTTCTCTGACACACCAGTTTCAGGTCTTGGAGTCTCTACTAATGAGCTGATGACCTGAATCAGGTGTGTTTGATTAAGGAGACATGCAAAACGTGCAGTGTTGGGGTACCTCCAGGAACAGGGTTGGGAACCACTGGCCTAACACATCCAAAGTAGTTTGACCAATAACATGCAGGTATTGTACATAATCGACCAATCGTGGCGCATCGCGCGTGAGAAGGTAAGAACGATCAAAGCGATGCAAATACGCGCACGTGTTTGTTCGTTCGTTCGACTTGAAGCTGCGCACCGATCGTTCGTTGTATGACACCAAAGTACCACGAGAGCGATTTGAAAGCATAAGGAGCCGTCCGCTCTGCTCTCTTTAGCTCTCGTGAAATAATATCATACAACAATTGATCTGCACAGTGCAAAAAGCCAAAACCTGGATATTTTAGGCAATAGGCCTATAGAAATCCTGGCAAAATGGCCCGGATGGTAACCCTACTTTAAAAGAAAAAAAAAATAGGTTACAAAAAAAGTCCAAACTGCTTCGAGTTCAACAAGGTCACAGGCTTTGAGATTACAAATAATTTAAAGACATATAACCATAATATGCCAGCTCTATCATACAACCTATGTAGAATTTACTTGGTACTTCCAATTAATTTCTCTCATTTTAAAATTTTTAACCTAAACTGTGAAATATAAACTTGAAAATACATGTGCTCAGTATAATCAGGGCCAGTAAGTTCAGACATCCTACATTTCCAGTAACAGATTAATCTTTTCTTTGTTGTTATGTAACAGGGATGTCGTTCAGAATGGGTGTATTGGAAGCACTGAAGGGAACAATACGTCTGTACGCGGCCTGCTGCACAAATTAGGCGTAGCGTCAACAAAAGAACAGTTGAAGAATCCTGCTGTTTTGGATGTGATTCTTCCTGCATGTGATGCTGTCAGTGTCTAACACTCTCCAGCTGCTCAGTGACTGCAGGCATGAGCATTTCAAATCACTCAAAGTTCAAAGACAGCAGCAAACATCACGAGCTGCTAATGGTTAAACATCAGACTGATGCTGGTGGATTATAAAAGACAAAAACACAAAACAACGCATCTGCATGTGTTCAGAATATAAAGGCAGGAAATAGGTGGGTTTGTAATTACAGACAGATGCTGAAGGCTGTATTGTGAAGGTTCATCTTCCAAGTGCATATGTCAGTTTCTGTCCTCAGATAGTAGTAGATACATTTAAAGGCACAGATAAGAACAGGGCGTCTGTTTTTAGGCAAAGTCTGTTAAAAAAAGCTTATTTAAACTTGTAGCAAGAAAACTACAAAGACTGTTTCAATTGTATTTGGTATATTAAATGCAAAAAGGGAGGCATAAAGTGTACAGCAGTCACTAAGAAATTTACAGTCAAGCTGAACCAGCACATAAATATTTTATGTGGCCTTTTAAAAAGTAATGTCGGTGAACTTGAGTTTTGTGCTGACTGGAGGTGACCAAGCAACTAATGTCAGTTTTAACAGTGTGAGAACTTATATTTGCTTAAGCTAAATTTGGAGATGAAATAAACTTTTCACAGAAAATATTTATTATTATCTTACTGATAGTTATAATAGTCAGTTGTACTTTTTTCTTTCTTTTGTAGCCTCATCCAGAAATATTCACTCTCATTCAGATCAGGGTTATTATCATTAGCTAATTTTATAATGTTTGCATTAAAATATGAATTTCATTTTTCAGTGTGAATTACACATAAATTGTTATACATATACATACAGCGGGTAAAATAAGGATTGAACACGTCACCATTTTTCTCCGTAAATATATTTCTAAAGGTGCTGTTGACATGACATTTTCACCAGATGTCGGTAACAATCCAAGTAATCCATACATACAAAGAAAACAATACAAATAAGTTCAGAAATTAAGTTCTGTGTAATAAAATGGAATGACACAGGGGAAAAAGTATTGAACACATGAAGAAAGGGAGGTGCAAAAAGACATGGAAAGCCAAGACTCCAGCTGAAATCTATCAGTAATTAGAAAGCAATCCTGCCCCTAGTCAGTGGAAATTAATATTAGCTGGTTTAGTCTCAACTGATGGCCTATAAAAAGGTGTCTCATTACCAACGTGTCACACAAGAAACACCTCATGATGGGTAAAAGCAAAGAGCTCTCTGAAGACCTTTGCAACCTTATTGTTGCAAAACATACTGATGGCATTGGTTACAGAAGGATTTCTAAACTTGTGCACTCAACCGCCGTGGCCTGTATGCACGCTCACCACGCAAGACTCCACTGCTGAAGAAAAAGCATGTTGAAGCTCATTTAAAATTTGCTGCACCACATTTAGACAAGCCTGTGAAAATACTGGGAGAATATAGTCTGGTCCAACATCATGGTGTAGCACTGGCAAAATTCATATAATTGAAGGAAGGATGAATGGAAAACAAGCTGTCATTACCAACAAAGGCTTTTTTACAAAGTAATAAATACATTTCAGTAAGCATGTTCAATACTTTCCCCCTGTCATTCCACTTTATTACACAGAACTTAATTTCTGAACTTATTTGTTTTGTTTTCTTTGTATGTATGGATT